CCGAGACCAGGGAGACAAACCCCTGCCAGTAAGTGTCACCAGGGTACTTAACCAACTCTATTAAATATGCCCCCACTCCACAAATTTTCAAAATGTTCAAAAAGGGCATTTACTCTGAGGAAGTTGATTACACATGTTGGGTTAGTACACGCACATGAGCCTCATTTCGGCATCACTTGTGGAATAAATGACTGCCAGGCAGCTTTTTCCAAGTATCACTCTTTTCAACGCCATGTGTGATCCGTCAAAACATTGTGTTCAGGTGTTTAATGTCTTTATGTGATTGTTTACTTTTTTTAAATGAATGTATTTTTCTTGACATGTCCTATGGCAATATACGAATGTAATCAAGGATGTATTCCTGTGGTTGTTTAAATGCTTTGATGTGATTCTATTATTGAAAATAAATGGTTAAATAACCAAATATTTTGGACTATTGGGGTACATTTTTGTCTCTTTAGGTACGAAATAGGTTGTCGCTGGGGGGGTACCCTCATAGGTACCCTATTGTACCCTTTTCAAGGGAACATTTCTGTACTATAGTTTGAAGGTACATTTATGTCTTAGGAAAGTACATGATTGTACTTCAGATGGTACAACTTCATAAGGTACAAAAATGTACCAAGCCTAAAGGGTACAGAAATGTCCTTCAAAAAGGAACACCCCCAGCGACAAGCATTTGTACCCTTTTTGGTACACTTTGGCACCCCTATTTCTGAGAGTGCAGAATATGAAAAGAAAGAGAATCTAAATACATTTTCAGTAAATTAAAATACTGGTAGCGATGAATGAGCATTGAGCTCAGTCAAGTTCAGAAATCAACTTTGTTTTATAAATCATAAAAATGATCAACAACAATCACTGAACTTATCATATGTCTCTTCAGCATTTTATGAAACACGTTTTAAATGGTTCTATCTGTGCAAAGTAAAAAATTTATAGTACTTACAGTCGACGATTAGTTTGGTCCCTCCACCAAAAGTCCACCACAGTGATACAAACTCATTAAGTGGCCGTACAAAAACCTCCTGAACATGAAACTCATTACTCAAAATCACTTTTATGTTCAGAATCACTCAATACTTTCTTATAAATGACCAAAATGCATACCTTATGTTATATTAAAGTTTTTAATGACATGGTTTAGAAATTATTTTTTTAATTTTTTATGTATTTACCAATTTTTTTAGTTCTACATTTCTACAGCAGAAAATGACTGAACTGCAATTGAAAAGTGTCATATTCTCACTTCTAAGTAAATTGAAACACAAACCATTGTTGAAATAAAATTAACATCATGCCATAAAATGCTATTAATCTTCAATATGTCCTGTAAGCAACTTAAATCCAAGGGAAAAAATTTATAAAATACAGAATGGAACAAAACTTTACCTGCTCTTCTTTTGCTATAATCTTTTGCTATAATCCATTATCATCATATTTAGTGTAAATCTATGAAGAGTTTCTTCTCATTATTTGTAACTTGTCTTCTGTGTGCTGAGACTAGAAAAAATAGTTTCTATAGAGGGGAGGGTTTGCATCTTCAGCTGATCCTCCAGAGAACTGAGAAGGTTTATAGTCCTGTGAGTTCAACACTGCAGGACTCACATCTGTCAGTCAACACAGCAGAAAGCACAAACACCATGACTCTCATCACCATCCTCATCTGGACGCTGGCCTGTGTCAGAAGTCAGGATTATTTAGAAGTCAGCCAAAACCTAATATAACTCAATGTTTTTGCCATTTCAATGACCACTGATATATCTGAGGGAACATTTCAGTTATTAGTATTTGTATGTACAAGACTAGTGTTGGGCAAGTTACTTTGAAAAAGTTATTAATTTTGGTACTAATTACTTCTTCAAAAAAGTAACTGACTTAGTAACTGAGTTACAAGATTCTAAAAGTAATTAATTACTAGGAAAAGTAATTATTGTGTTACTTATAAAAAAAATGTTTAACCCTCTGGGTTCCAGGGTATAACTGGCCGTTTTTGACTACTTTTAATTTTACCTCCACATTTCACCTCTAAAAACTATTTACTTTGCCCTGTTTGGTATCATTCTTTTCAGCACAACCTCACGTGTCTGAATTTACAGTTATGTTTTCATTTTGACGTACTGTATTAGCACAGCTAATCTAAAATCAGACAAAAAACATAAACTCTGAGTAGAAAAGTTGTATTTTTTACTGTAACAACCACAAACACACTAAATGTCACAAATCTCTCACATCTCAAAACTCGCTCACTCTGTCTCTTTTTTTCTGCTCTCTTTCTTTCTCTCTCTCTCTATCTCACCACCACTCCTAAAATTTCCCCCTCTTCCTAAACAAGCAAATGTTATGTTGCCATATCATTTTTTGATTGGTCGACATTGTACATTTTTCCACCAACATGAAAGTGGTGTTTTTTGTTTTGCTTTGTTTTTATTTTTTGGTCATAAGCAGAGAGTGCTTGCTAGCACTGCCCTTGGAGATTAAACGTGACGAAAGTATTTAGGAAAAAACACCGCGAATATATTGTTATCGTGACGCTGGTTTTACAGGGCACTGGTATATAGTACCTTGTTGCTTTGTCATCTTGAAGTGGTCATGTGATTGGTTTAGATCTGAGCCTTCAGGCTGATGATGCAGGAGATTACTGCTGTATAGAGTGTATGACAACCCTTTATCATGCGCATATTGATAGAGAGCCATACAAAAACCTCCCTTAGTTACTGTCAGTGCTGCAGCTGTGACATGGATGCCTGGTTCACTGAGTCTTCTTGAATCTTTTCTCTCCCCCTTTCCTTTTGCTATTTCTCCAGTTTCTTCTCTCATCTTTTGCCAATCTTTTGCTTTATCCTGTGTCTGGTCCAATATCCACAAGACAATGATATGATTAAACAATACAAAGTAAATAAGTAAAACAAAAACATTAACAAGATGAGTCTATGGCGAGTCTATGGTGGCCCACTTGGGGCAGCAAATATGATTAGCACAACAAAGCATTCAGACCATAATTCTGCTGGACAGGTTAAAAGAATTCCCTATGTGTAAATTTATTGGCTTCTTTGTACATGTGGCTGCTGAGTTCTGCAGACACAGGCTATTGGAATTATGCACAAACGCTTGAGTGAAATTGCGTGAGCAATTTTTAAGGAATGGCCAACCAAAATTACTACCATAGTGCATTAATGATTCAGTCAGAAGGTTAAAAAGAAAGCGAAAAAAGAACTGCATGCCTCGCTTGCCTCAGAGTTCATGATTCAACAATAAGAAGGAGACTGGCATCCATGGGAGAGTTCCTAGGCAAAAGGCCACCAAAAAGAATTCAACAGCTCATCTTTACCAAAAAAAAAACACTTTTATGATACCCTTTTAAAACTGTTGGGAAAATATTCTGTTGACTGATGAGACAATAGTTGAACTTCTGCTCTCTGTTAAAAAAGTTCTAACCTCTGATCCTATAAGTCTTACTCAGTAGGTAGTGCAGAGGTCAGCCGGAGCCGATATGGATGAGGGGATTCGCCCCAGTGTCTTTGCTGTTTGCTCTGATATGAAGAAACCTGAGTATCTTTGAAGGTCAAATCTTAACACCATCGTCACACCTGTTATGGCAGCTCCCCTCTAGATCATGGCACTTCTTGTTTCTGGGAGCCTGGACAGCAGGCTCCAAGGAAGGATTTTTTTAATAAGGCTAGGGAAACCTGCAAGAGCAATTTTCACTAATAAAGAATAAAGCTCAGACATTTATCTTTACTGTTTCATTAAAGGTTAAAAAGCAAATGTCATAAACTTAAACTTTAAGTGCAGGAAATTTTATTACGGCGATTTAGCAGGAGAAAAGTAAAATCAAAATCATGTATTAATGATCACAAAACAATAATCGCTTAAACAATTAAACAGTAACTTAAACTACACTTATCTAACTAATCTACTCTGAACTAATGGTCAGTTTGTTCTTATCTTTGGTGAAGAGGGGTTGGAGGAATGATGAGCACAAATGAGTTGATGATAATCACCCAGCAGGAAAGCAGCTAGGCATCCGGTGGAAATGTGATGTACATCAAGATTATTCTGAGCCGGTCAGCAGGCAGGCCAGTGTGACTGGGCCTCCAAAGAGCTTCTCAGAGGAGGGTTGAAGCAGAGAGACTGAGGGTCTGACCATGGGGCCAGCTGGAGGGAAGATCACAGACACAAAAGATGTAAATGGTTTCAGTCATTATGCAAATATACTGTGTATAAGATTGGGGAAACCTGCTGAGACGGAAGAAGTCACTTGAATGAGTGACGAAACGTTTCTCCTACTGAAAACGCTATGTCCAGATGAACAGAATCGACCTTTGGAGAAGAAGTAGATTAACTTCTACTGTAGGACAGATAGCTGACACGACATAGTTACGATACATGACAGAGATTAACAGACCTGTGGATTAACTGTATGATGATATTTTGATAAAACAGAGCACAGAAACCGAGAAATCGGTGGATATTAGGCTTTAACAAAGAATAAATAATTAGTTGATGTGCTGCTGTATTTGTTTTCTTGATGATATAATTGAAATGTGTACAGGAAATGTTAAAGTTTGTCATCTGTTTGTTTCACTTCCTTTTCATCACATCAGACTAACAAACTGCATCTGTATGAAAACTAATTCATTTAGTCAACAGCATAAAATGTTATATCCAACATGGTGCCAAACATTTCAGTGAAACTGGATTAACTCAAAAAATTATTTAAATTTTCAGTACTATATAACCATTAAGTCATGATACTGTATTATATATTCACACTTTCTAATACCAAGTTTTCAATAACAGCTACTACTAAACCCAATCATATATACATCATGTAAAACACCCAGAATAAAATTTCTTCTCACATTGTTTTGTTGTGTGTTGAGAGCAGAGAAATGATTTCCATAGAGAGGAGGCTTTGCATCATCAGCTGATCCTCCAGAGAACTGAGAAGCTTTATAGTCCTGTGACTTCAACACTGCAGGACTCACATCTGTCAGTCAACACAGCAGAAAGCACAATCACCATGACTCTCATCACCATCCTCATCTGGACGCTGACCTGCTGCTGTTTTACAGGTTCATTCACTCAGCAACATTTCAAACATGATGTGCTGCTTTTTCTCTCATTGATTTCTGCTGATAAATGAATGATTTGTTTTTGTCTGCAGGATGCAGCGGTCAGGTGACTGTGACTCAACCTCCAGTACTGACATCTACTCCTGGAAACAATGTCACTCTGACCTGTAGGACCAGCCAAGCTGTTTACAGATTTGATGATGGTGATGATGCTATGTACTGGTATCAACAGAAATCTGGACAGGCTCCAAAGCTCCTAATAAAATATGCAAAAACGCTTCAGTCAGGAACACCAACTCGATTTAGTGGCAGTGGAAGCAGCTCTGACTTCTCTATGACCATCAGTGGAGTTCAGACTGAAGATGCAGCAGTTTATTATTGTCAGAGTTTCCACAGCGGGCCAGTGTTCACACAGTGATTTGTAGTCGTACAAAAACCTCCCTCAGTCAGACTGCAGAGACACTGAGCTGTTACAGCAGAAAATGACTGCAGCTGCTGAAGAGGAAGAAACTCTGACACAGACCAGTGAACACAGAGCTGACAGTAACCTCACCAAGCACTAAATACTCATCTACACTTCTTTTGGGGAATTCTGAAATATTCACTCCCTTTTATCATCTTCAATGCCCTGTACCAACACTGAGCAGAGCAGCTATCTGAACACTGCTCCAACAGAGGTCGATCATCTTGTTAATAATTTTGCCTCCTCACTAAGTATGACTCTGGTTACTGTAGCTCATGTGAAAAAGAGGTCCTCAAATCAAAAGTATTTGACTCTGTGGTATAACTCTCAAACACGCACCTTAAAGCAGATAACTTATAAGCTGGAGACGAAATGGCGTAAAACAAAGTTAGAAGATCATCTTTTTGCTTTAGTTTGCTGCATTATAAGAAAGCCCTCTGTAAAGCTAGAACATCTTTCTATTCATCACTGATTAAAGAAAATAAGAACAACCCAAGGTTTCTCTTCAGCACTGTAGCCATGCTGACAAAAAGTCAGACCGCTGTTAACTCAACCGTTCCTTTAATATTAACTAGTAATGACTTCATGAACTTCTTCACAAATAAAATTTGAACCATTAGAGAGAAAAAATACTCATAATCGTCTCACAGATGTAACATTATCTACAGCAACTTTCAGTGCCATTAATATTCATATAGAGTCTTTTTCTCCAGTTGGTCTTTCTGAGTTAACTTCAGTAACTGCTTCCTCAAACCATCAACATGTCTTTTAGACCCCCATTCCTACAAGACTGCGCAAAGAAGTCCTGCCATTAATTAATGCTTCAATCTTGAACATGATCAACCTGTCTCTAGTAATCGGCTATGTACCACAGGCCTTCAAGCTGGCAGTAGTTAAACACTTACTTAAAAAGCCTTCTCTTGACCCAGCCGTCTTTGCCAGTTAGTCTTAGCTTTCTTTCATGTCAAACATTCTTGAAAGAGTAGTTGCCAAACAGCTAACAGATCATCTGCAGAGGAATGGCTTATTTGAAGAGTTTCAGTCATGTTTCAGAGCTCATCACAGCACAGAAACAGAATCTGCTTATAGCCTCCAGTGTTAGAGAGTAATGGAATACATGTACCGGCATCACATATTTAATACAAAATCTGAGTAAATGTATTTTGTTACAGTTAACATTTAAATAGGTGTCCCTCACGCCAACCGGTCACGGCAGATGGCTTTGGTGCTATTTTTGTGCCTGTATTCTGTGCGAACCTAAAGAAAATTTGCAAGATCAAATGTTGCATTTTGAGGAGAAAATTATTTTGAGTGAAGAAAAGTTTAATTTCAGCAAACAAGATTCATTGTTGATCAGTTGTTGGCTTTTGCTCTTGCTCAGATCTCTGCTCTGTGTGCTCACAGACATCTGCAGACCTGCTCTCACACATAATAACAGCCCTTCTGAGCGAGAGGGGCTGTTATTATGTGTGTATGGATAATAGCAAAACTGAAATACATTTCTTGCATGTAGCAATGAATTTTGTCTGCTCAAATTAAACAAATACACTGACACAGAGATGCACTCACCCCCCTCCCAATGCCTCCCAATGACTCCCAGTGCTTACTCCAAACCAAAGTAGGCAGGCTAATATGTCCAGCGCCGGAACACTGGCAGCAAGACCAGACTGCTGTCCACATGGGTTAACTCTTGCCCAGCCCCCCACTCCTTTGCAAGTCATGTGAATTTATGTTGAAAACAATTTCCCTAGGGACAAATTAATTATTAATAATCAATCAATCAATCAATCAATCAATCAAAACTCCCTCAGCATGTCTGTTATTAAAACAAGTTTACTGATTGAAACAGTTGCACTTTTTTATTTACGTACATAAACTAATAAACTATAATGCATTCTAATGATTTACTAATGAAAAAATACTCTATGAACTATACAATGCTGATAGAAACTATAACGTGGAATATATCATTTTCTGTATTTAAAAAATGTATTGTTGTGATAGAAATATGAGGTTTGATGGAGCATTTGTATTTAATAACGTTTTGCGAAATTTCCACAAAGTTGTTTTTCTTAAGCTGTGATTTTACTTTGTGATTTCAACTTTTTTTACAGCATTGTTTTAAAGCACAACATGGATAATATTCGCTGATAAAATTGCACATCAATAATGAGTCAAACATTTACAGGATTATTGCAACAAATGAAACATGTAGCTTCATCAAACTATAAAACACATCAGATGCCAACAGGAAGTGTTGGTGAAGCTCTACTCTAAGCAGTGGTCAGGGTCCAGTGATGTTTCCAGTAACTCTGATTATAATGTTTGACTTTCTGAGTCAGGGTGAGAGACTTTTTACTTGTTTGTTTTTAATTCAGTTTGTGCTGTTCATGTTTCTCTGATTTAACCTGATACATTTTCTGTTGTTTTTTCCTCAAGATTCAAATCATTTTAGTCCTCATTTCAAAGTTTTTTGCCAATAGTTTTCTGACTCTGTAAAGCCAAGTCTGTCAAGCACTGTGACCATTAGTGCCACAAGGAGTTGCTGGACTTAGTTACTACCTTCAGAAACCTGGACAGCCTCCCAAACGGCTGTTTCTCAAAATCAGCAGAGGCCAGTCTGATACTCCGAGTCATTTCAGCAGCAGTGGATCTGAGCCTGAGTTCACTTTGACAATCAATGGAGTTCAGGCTGCAGATGCAGGAGATTACTACTGTATGGGAGCATATAGAGGCCCAGTGTTCACACAGTGATACAGAGTCTTACAAAAGCCTCCCTCAGTTACTATTTGCAGTGTTGCAGCTGTGAGCTTCTGATACAGACTCTGACATGCATCACTGGTTCACTGAGTCCACTTTCAGAGGTGGAAACTAAAATATTCCTGATCACATTATTAAGAAGATTTTAAATTAAGTAACACTGTTTAGAATTTGCAACATATTATCCTTATCTCACTACATTTTGTATTACTTCTAATTTGCTGTGCATAATAAGGTAATATGAAAATAATTTTGTTCATACATTACATTTTAAATCACAAAGTTATAAGGTGTTTCACATTTTAAATAAAATCAACTTATAAGAAATACTTTTTTATATCACAGCACACATAAATACATATTTAAAAGTAACTGATGACAACAAAGGTCAAAATGAAATAACCAAATGATCAGGATAACTAGAAAATGCAGAGAAATGTATTTGCTACAGCCTCAAACGACTGACTGCAATAACATGCTGTTAGCAGTGGTGCTGCACAAACATCAGCCTGGCCATGAAGGGCTTTAAATTTGATTAATAAAATTTTAATATTAATTCTACAGTTTGCCAGAAGGCCACACAGGGAGGCAAGAGAACATGTGTTGTTCTTTGATGATACTTTGAGTCAGATTTTTGCAGTATTAATTCCTTGAAAAAAACAGACTGGATGGGCTTAGAGGCTCAAAATTCAAGTCTTAGTCAAAAACCTTGCACAGAAAATATGTCTAGTAATCAGAACCCAATACTGAACCCAGACCCTGTACACAGTTTTTAACTTAAATAAAATTAATCTACTTTGATTTGAACTAAACAATGATTGTGCTTCATGCATGAAAATGTTTTATCAGTTTCCTACCACAGGGTTGGAATCAGGTGTTAAAGTTTTATTTGGGAGGTGGGAAGTTCAGCTGTAGTGGGGCAGCAGAGACTCAGCTACATTTTGCAATAAGACAAAGTTCCATTCACCATGATGGCTATTTTCCAACTCCTCACCGTATAAAGCTGGATTTTGGTTGGTATCTTTATTTTTTGTTTCAAAGGTCAATGACGATCGCTGACTTTGCACACAAATAAGCTTTTAAAAGCTTCTCCCCAAGAGCAAAACAAAAGTGGTTTTTCTTGTGCTGTGATTTTATTTTGTGATTTTTACTTTTCTTTACACAATGGTTTTAAAAAACAACATGGACATACTTAGCATGCACATCAATAGAAAGTCAAATGTTTGCAGAAATATTGCGACAGCAGAAACATGTAGCTTCATCAAACTATAAAACACATCATATGCA